GACTTGAGAAACACACCTGGTGTGTATGCGTGTGTGTCCAAGGTTCCAAAAGGGGGGAGAGGTGGAGGGGAAGGGACTGCAGGGTGATGGCACCCCAGGACAGGGCAGAGGTATGCTTTCTCACTTTCCCTCTCTGGTGAGTGAGCGCATGTGCCCTCTAGCAAAAAAGGTGGAGGAAGGAAAAAGCCACTTCTTTGGCCTATGGGTTGGAGCTGGAGCAGGGTCCTCTCCTGCAGCTGGACTGAGATTTGCACCAGTGCCTGCTGGTTCCCAGGCCTGCTGGCTCAGACCGAATTATACCAATGGCTTCCCTGGGCCCCCAGACTGTGGGATTTCTCAGCCTCCGTAGCTGTGTGAGCTAATTCCTCATAATAAGACATAGTACATCTACATATATATTATATAAGGATGCTATTTTATGTATATCTTATTTAGCATCTATGTATCTCATGTGTGTGTGTATATACATGTGTGGGTGTGTATATGTGTGTGGGTGTGTATACATGTATGGGTGTCTACATGTGCGTATAAACTTATTGGTTCTGTTTCTCTGGAGAGCCCTGACCGATAGCGGCGACCTGCTGTTTCTGTCACTGAGCTCTTCCCACCTCCTCCCTCTCAAGCAGAAGGGCCTCAGGAAGAAGCCATGATGCCCTCTCTTCCGTTTCGAGCCATCCTAAGGCCGTGCTACAGGATCAAACACTGAAACCCCACAGGCTGCATGCGGCTCCCAGACATGCTCTGTCTGGTCCCCCTAAGAGTGTTTTGGTTTTGTTTTTTTTTGGTTTTTTTTTTCAGAGGTTTTAGCTATAGGGTGCATGTGCTCATCAGACAGACAGAGAGAGACAGAGAGACAGAAAGAGAGAAATCACCCCCCAGGGAAGATGGCCATGCTGCAATCCCTTCTCCTCCATTCTCCTCTCGGGATCTTGGGCACCCATGCACACACACGCCTGGCGTGAGTTTAAGCTGCTGGGTCCAGGATTCAAACCACAGTTGACTACATGGGAGTCCAACAACATAGCCATCACGCCAACTGCTGGTCCCCCACTAAGGGTTTTTAATTAAAAAAAAAAAATTTGCCAACATTGAAATGCTGGGATAGCTCACATGGAAATGAAAACTTCTGGCTGGACGCAGAACCCTACCTGGAGTTGTGAGCTGGGACAGGGTGTGAGTGCTCCAGGCAACCACAGATACCATCCCTGCTGTTGCCCTTCTCGTTACTGAGGTCATGTACTCCCTGTCTGCCCACTGACCTTGCCCTTCTGCAGTCCCTCCACCCGCCACTCTGCCTGCTGACACTGCCTACCCCCCCAGCCTCTGAGTTTGAGGCCCCAGCTGTGGCCTCTGTGGCCCTAGGCAGAGCTCAAAGGGGCAATGCATCTCTGACAGATTCTCGGGGACCGAGGGGTCTTCTGCCCTCACTCGTAAGCATCTCAGAGTTTCTGCCCAGTGGGCAGGGCCGGCTTCTCGGGTGCAGCTTACAGTCACGCAAAGCCCTGGGCTCAGAGGAAGGCTCCACACGTGCTCTGCTACCCTGCTCTCACCATCTTAAAATGTGCACTAGATTCTGAATAAGGGGGCCATGTTTTCATTTTGTACTGCACCCACAAGTTCCATAGCTGCCCTGCCAGTGGGTCACTCACTAATGAGGGCCACTGAGCCTACACACACCCTGGGGACTTGGCCAATGCTCCCAGTCATGAGGCCATCAAGGCTCCAATGTTTTTAAACACAGGGAGCTCAGCAGGGCAACCTGGAGGGAGGGGGAAGAGAATAAAGAGACCTTGGGTTGCATTTGACTGGAGCTTCGTGCAACCTGGTGCAAGCAGTGAGCGCAGAAGAGAAGGGGGAGTAGCGTGGAGACTGGGGAGAGGCCCTCGCCAGCCACTCTTTGTCTCAGTCATTGTGTGCAGTGTTCAAGGACTGGATTGAGGCAAGGTTTGCGGCAGATGCTCTTGAGGAAAGGAAGGGAGAGGAAAAACCACGTGAACGAAGCGTCTGTGCTCAGCTGTGCACCTGAAGAGCTCCCGCCTGTCCAGTAGCCCTGCGTGGCTGTTACCATGCCCATTTTCCAGCTTACGGACATGAGGCTCAAGGTGCCGTATGTAGGTGCTTCCCAAGGTCTCACAGCTCACACGGGGCAACACTGGCATTATGAACCAGACCACCGGAGGCCTGATCCAGACCTCTGGCCATGTACTCTACCGGGGAGATGGCGTATGGGAGCAGGGAAGTCACTGGTGAAGAAGGGGGGAAGGATGCCCGCCCCGAGTGGCCTAATTCTTAAAATAAACAGAGAGACCGTTTATCATGGAAAGCGTGTAAATGCCACCAAGTCCAAATGGATTCTTTTATTATGTCAGAAAGGCCTCTCTGAAGAGGTCACATAGAAGCTGCGATCTGATGGATGAGAATGGGCTGGCTGGCATTGCTAGGTATGCAGCCAGAGACCCAGAGAGGTTAATTGATTTGTGCAAGGTCGCACAGCTAGCTGGCCCTTCCTCTCTCTCCTTTCCACCCACAGATACCCATTGAACTCCTTTTCTGTACCAGGCCCTGAAATGATTTTGAAACACAGGTCAGCAAATTTCCCTGAAAGGTCTAAATTATAAATGCGCTGTGGGCATTAGAGTGTCCACACATAACAGGTAAATGAATGGGCTTGGTTGTGTTCTGATAAAACTTTATTTACAAAACAGGCTGCCACCCACCCTGCTCGAGAATACAGAAATGAGTAAGACATAGTCCTAGACTTTGAGAACATCCTGTGTTATTTGGGGAGATGAATCAAGTTGAGAAGAAAATAGAATACAAGAATAAGCATGCTGAACAGCCCAGGAGAGGAGAATGGAGAACAGGTAGAAGAAAGATCTCTTCCACAGCTCAAGAGGATGGGAATCAAGTTCAGGTTCACATTGTGTGAATATTCATTTATTTAATTTTTTGTTTAATGCTTATCTCCCTATATGACAGTCCTGGGCTATTTTTGCCAGCCTCTCTCTCTCTCTCTCTCTCTGAAACTGTGCTTCTGTTTTTCTTTAGAGAACCATCTCTTGCCCATTCTCAGTTCCAGCCCAGCTCTAGCCATTTACATGTGATCCAAACCCAGCTAAGGGATTGGCTCAGGGATGGGCCAATGAAAATCAGCCCTGGGATTTTGCGGGGACTATTAGAAGACAAATTTTTCCCCAGGAAGTAAGCCTGAAGTTGCTGGAGGCCATCTCTCCAGCCATGTTGGTGCAGCCTTCTGAGAAACCAACACGGAGAAAAACAGAGCTCAGAGATTCAGAAGACAAAGTCCTAGTGACGTATGTACGCCTCCCTATCCAACCCTGCCTGAAGCCTTCCCTCACCCAAGACTTTTCAATTACATTTTTGCTTAAGTCCATTTAAACTGCATCTTTGTCACCTACAACCAGAAGAACCCTAATGATAAATAAATAAGTACTTCTCAAACACTCGCCTGGTGCTTGGCATATAGTAACAGGCTCCAAACAACAGGTGGTGTTGAAACAGATCTTCAATGCATGCTCATACACCCACATCCAGTTACAAGGACCAGAGACACCAGGAAGGAAGACACTTGGAAACAGAAAGAACTATCTCAGAATAGGAGGAAAGGACTGAATCAGATGACAGTCACCACCGCAAGGAACAATGAAGGATGTGCAAACAACAGAGCAGAGAAGAGATCGAAGGAAATCGATCCATTCAAGTAGAATGGGAATTCCAGGCTACTGATAAGCGAATGGCAGGCTGGTGCAGCTTCGCCTTATCTCCACCTGTCTTTGCTTCTCAGGTGTCCCCACAAGCAATCATGGACTGCTTCCTGGTACAATTGACTCTGCAAAGACTCCAAGAGCAAAGCCAGCCAAGGTCAAGGGCCCCTCGGATCACAAAGGCCTTGAAAAGTCTCAGAGATGAGCCTGTGTAAGTATTGATAAAATGACAGTCTATTTTTAGAGTCTGTTTGACTCTAGGTCCATTACCTGGCAGACTTCAGTGACGGTGAGGAATCAGCAAATGCAAAATTGTTCTCTGCTGTCAGGCTATGGTGGGCCGCTATGGTAGAGACCAGGCTCACTGGAGAGCAAAAGTGGAACAGCCAGGGTGGGAGGGCACATCTCGAGTGTCTGACAATAGTGTCTCCTCCCCGTGATGTGTGGGGACAGGTAGCAGGCAGGGAGAGACAAGGAAAGCAGAGGGAGCAGAGGTAAAGAGGTATGCCTGAGGGCCCTTGCTGGCTAAGGGAGGCTCCTCTGGTCAATCAGCATGAGATCAAGTGTGCTTGCTTATTTATTCTCTCAACAAACATACACTAACACTTAGCTGCAATAACAACAGTAACAACAGTTCACGCGCTCTGAGTCCTCGCTCAGTACCAGGCTCTGCTCTCAGTGCTTCACATAGAATTTGCACAACAGGGTCCTTGTGAGGTTCCCTGAATGATGGGTCAGGAAATCGAAGCCCCGAGAAGATAAGTCATTCCCAGAGAGCACACAGCTTACAAGGGGCTGAGCTACGATCTGAACCCAGGCATTGGGCTGCCGAGCCTGGACTCTCAAGCGTGCCTGTCTGTGGGCCAGGCCTGGCATCCGCAGAGCAACCCACAAGCTCGTCTTCACAGCGTTTTGTTCGAGGAAGGTACAGACGTCAGGTTTCCGGAGCACAGAGGAGGGAGCAGTCAATGCTGCCTGCAGGGGACTGTGGGTGGTGGGGGGGGCGGGGGGG